ATATAACGGAGTAAAAATTTTTTTCCAAGTATAGGAAGACCATATTCATTGTGTGGTAATATTTTGATCATGTATTTGTTATACAAAATTAGATTCCTTTGTCCATCTTTTCCAAAAATGGTGATGCGTTACTTTTGACCGTTTATTTACATATCAATTACTATATATAGAATTTGGTAAACTATAAACAAACTAGCGAAAAAAATTTTTTTAAACTGTTTTTTCAGCCCCCTTTTCTATCTATTTTAATTAAATTTTTCAAAAAAAAAAAAAAAATGGGACGCTTATCTATTGGAAAACGAAATAGAATACATTCACTTATTCAAGAGGGGTTTCCGTCTCGTTTTATTGCTTCCCGTGAAAAGGTTGCTCAATCTACTATTATTAGAATAAAGCAGAAGGTGGAGGCTACAGGTTCTGTAAAGGATTTACCAAAGTCAGGTCGTCCAAGACTCTTTACAGGGAGAGATGAACGTAATATTATAAGAATGCTTTCATCTGGGGAGTGTTCTACTGCTGTGGACATTCAAAAAAATCTAAAAAACAATAGTAAAATTGCTGTAAGTGAAAATACTGTGAGGCGTGTATTAAATAGAAATGGTTTTTCATCAAGAGTTAAGAGAAAAAAGCCATATTTAAAGAAAACACATCGTCAATTACGCTTAAAATTTGCTAAAAAATACAAAGACTGGGGAGTTGAAGAGTGGAGCAAAATAATTTGGTCTGATGAGTCCAAATTTATGATATTTGGTTCTGACGGACGTAAATACTGTTGGAAAAAACCTGATGAACCCCTCACTGACAAGCATGTAATTCCTACAGTAAAATTTGGTGGAGGGTGTATTATGGTATGGGGATGCTTTTCTTCTTTTGGGGTTGGTAACATAGTAAGAATTTATGGGAATATGAACGGTGAATTATATCGAGAAATATTAAAGGATGACCTTCTAGGAACAATCGAATGGCATGGGATTGATAAAAGTGATATTATATTCCAGCAGGATAATGATCCCAAACATACCGCGAACCTAACATGGCAGTGGTTTGAGGATAATAACATTGATGTACTTGAGTGGCCACCACAATCACCGGATTTAAATCCGATAGAACATTTATGGAATGAAATTGATAGACGTATACGACGATCTTCTATAGGAATTCATACACAAGATCAACTCTGGGACGCGATACAGAAGGTCTGGGTTGAAATGGATATAGAGTTTCTTAACAAATTAATTGAAAGCATGCCAGAGCGTATTAATGATGTAATATGTGCAAAAGGTGGTTATACTAGGTGGTGAGCTTCAAATTAAAAAAAAAATTTGCTAGTTTAGGTTAAATTTTTTTTGTTTAGTTGCTAATTTAAGATCAGGTGTTGGAAACGATCAAAAGTAACGCATCGCGTTAATTTGGTTAAAATTTTATTTTTTCAATTTTTTTATTAATAAAATAAAATAAAAATTTATTTTTTACATTGTTTCGGTATAATAAATTAAATGGAATTATAAATTTTATTTTTTTATCACGTGTATACAAAGTAATTAAATTTTAAAATTTACCAATTGGGGTGATGCATAACATTTGGGAGC